CTAAATTGGCAAAAATTTTAGTAGAGTTGCCAAAACTCCTGCCTAAATTTTGAGCGTGCCAAAACCAAAATTAAGTAATTCAGTAGGGATCTTTTTTTTTTTTTTCCAGTTTCTCTCCTTAATTTGATTTATTTTCTTAGCAAATGGTCATAGGTTTCTCAGTGGCCTATCAACTCATTAAAAACCCAACCAAACAAACTTATCTCAACAACTCAGCAGTCAGGCTGTCATAGTCCCCACGTCTCTACACTCACAAATTTAACAAGCCAGGGGATAGTTCCTTTTAGGCCTTCATAATTTCCAATATTCTGTTTGCTTGCATATACACCTGAAAATGTTTTATGCTTTCCAGTTTCCTGAAGGTAGGCAGCTGAATTTCTTGGAGATTGCTAAGTGCTCATATAACTAAATTTCAAATCAGACTTCACATGAAATAGTCTCTATGCATCTAAAGAAAACAAGTAGTTTCAATTCAAAGTATCAGGACTGTGGCTCTGTCAATAGATATAGTCAAATTACTGCACTTTACTCGTAAATATATATATAAATACATACACACACACACACACAGACACTGTCATTCCTGTCTATGTTAACCAGAAGAGCAATTATGCCAATTTGGGTTTCTCTTCACTAAGGAACCTCTAGCTGAGTTTATCATTCATTCAGAGGGCATAAGTTTCTTAGATATGCACGTTTACTTTCATTTTCTCCATTTAGAGACTGGTAACTCAATGCTGCACAAACAAAGCCTGACTTTTAGTCAAATTACCCTGTGTTTCAGAGAGCAAAAGCTTTATTAAATAACAAGTATTGAAGAATTAAACATCACTAAAACATTAAATTCTACCAAATGTGAATGGAATTCATATACAGGTTACTTGCAGATCATTCTTATGGGTCACCATTTGGTAGCAGTTCAACAGAAACAAAGTCAGCCCAATATCTACTAATAGATTTAATAAGGCATAATTATGTTTGTTGTACACTGATAACTGCAAAGTATGTATTAAGAAATGATAAAAATGTATTAAAACCTGTGCTTTTTCCTGTGTGAAGTATTCTAATTCAGAGATCCATATTATAAATATTTGTTTACAACTATTTCAGTACCTTGAGAAAACCTGCGTAGCTGGAAGCAAGAATACTAAGTAAATTATATGTTTCACTGAAATTTTCCATTACTGCTATTTGGCCAAGAAATAACAAAAACCCCATGTACTGCAGTATAATAACCACTATTTGAAGTCCTAAATCTACGGTAAGTTAAAATGATTGTTTTAGCACAGTATATTTTAAATACTTGGTTTTCAATTAAAATAGAGAATATCAACTCAGTAACTGTGAGTTACTAACCTAAAGCTACTATGAAAGCTTAAAGGTGACTGACCACAGCAAAACACATACATTTCACATGAACTTACTCTAGCTCTTTGCAATGTTTAACAGGTATTTTTAAAATAAAAATGTTCCATTTGCTACCTTATACACAACTGACAGAAGCACAAGCTTTAATGGTCAGTAAAATCTACCTTCTATCCATTAATCAGTGTAATTTTTTCTCAGATGAAATAATTGCACCAACTATTTTCCTGACAAAAAGGATTAATCTTTGTAATAAAAAAGCAAGGTAAGAATACAATGAGTATTTTGAAAAGGTCACTGAACTTGACATACCCGACCTTCAAAAATCACACATCAATCTCTGATCTGACCAAAGTTTCCTAAGTAAAAATAACCTATCTTCTTTTTGAAATTGCTAGATACTATGTGAAGCAAACCCAAGATACATCAAGTATGTATGGGAAATTTTTAAGCACATCTCTTCACTACGTAGCTGTCAGTATCCACATGATAACTACCAAGACAGATGTGCTCTGTCTGTGATAATGCGCCAGTAGAGCACTAGGAAATTTAAATTACGTTACACTATTGCTTCATATATTTTAGAAGTTCATACATAAAAGGAGGTCAGAGTATTAAAGTGAACTGCTTTAAGTCCCCTTTGAAGGTTAAGTCATATTGTTTAATAGTTCACTATTTCTCAAAAAAGTTAGCATTTCAATAATTTTTTTGTGTATGAAAGCCAACAACATATGGGACACAACAAAGTAGTGTCAGTGGACCCTGTTTGTGTCTTTCTCAAAACTAACTGGTAAAAACAACAACCCCAAATGTAATTCAAGAAAGCATAATAAAAGCAGTCTAATGAAACAACAAAGTAGGTGAGATTTTACTAAACTAAATAAGCTTTAGAGTCTTCCTTTGAACCTCTTCATAGAAGAATACAGGAGTGACATGTAAGGGAGAAACACGGAGGAGACTGAGTACAGTGAGGGACAGAAAATACAAGTAACACCAAGTAACTTAAGTAACACCAAAAAACCCCACATTGGTTATGAACGGGTAAGAAAGAGAAAAAAAGATGTGACAGCACAGCTCTCCACCACTTAAAAATTTCAATGCTTTACATATTAAGTAAAGTCTTTTTTTAAAACTTTTTCTATATCCAGTAGAATTGAAGATATTTAACATTCATACCAGTCAAAGAAAACTGTGCAATAATAATTGATTTTCCACTACAGGAATTGCTCATGAAGTTGTTAACTCACAAGAATGCACACGAGGCTAGAGCATGCTTCTTTCTACGGTTGGATGGCTTTGGAGGAAAAAGCTCACAACTGCTGGATTTTAGTGAATGAAAACATTTTTAGCTGCACCATTACATTAAATTTTGTAAAAATAATCAAATAGAAAAAATATATTACTGTATACATCATCTAATGTATTTTTATCAAAACACAGAGATCTGCATGAATCAACAACAGCTGCATACACAAACCAACAAAACTGGATTTAAATATTGGAAAGCATTTGAGGTTTGTGCTGGTTTCCTGCTGAATTGTAACTCAAAGTAGTTGCCAACTGCAAATTGCTTAAATTATTGTGGAGACACAAATTTGAAAATAACACAAGGAATAAAATCTCCAGTGTGAAAGCAAAATGTTTGGATGCAAACAGGAAAACGAATCACAGGAATATGATCAAAAAAGTTGACACATCTGTATGACCTGTATATGCTTAAAAACCAGGATACTACTAAAGAATAACTAGAACATTTTCAGGTGAATATTAATTGGCTAAACCATTTCAATTGATACACATAGTCTCTTCATGAACAAGTAAAAATCTTAACTATAAATACCCTGAGTATTAGTTCCACATAAATTTAATCCCGTATGTATCTTCACTAGATTCAGGAAGAGACTATACATTTTTGTTTTAAAATAAGAATAAAAAAATAAGAATAAAAAAACCTTTTAATATTTGTATTTTATTCCTGTAACTGTGTTGTTTGTTTTGAAGATAATCAAAACTATATTTGACCCATATATATCTAAATCCAGAGAGAGAAAAGGAATAAAATGTATTCAGAAATCTGATTTTGGTTTTCATGTTTTTCTTATAAAATGAAAAAAAAAACTACAAACATTTTTTTTCTTCAAAGAAACAATTCACAGTGTTTAACATGAAAATTTCAAGAAATTAAAAATAATGTGATCTAGCACAAAATGATTCACTGTGTGTGTGATAAAATGAAATCTGTATACAGGTACATAATGAAATTATCCAGATTACAGACTGGTAAATTAGAATATTTGGAAACCAAAGCTTTTTATATTACAGAATAAGTTAATCTTTCTTAATATCACACTACCTTCACTTTGTTCCTACTTCAGAACTAAAGTACCAGATCAAATCTCCATACTCTTTCCAAGATGGTATGAAAAAGAATGGAAGCTGGAGCTTTCCAAAGAGGCAAAAAAACCAAACCCCCAAAAATATAAATGAAAGACACTTCTCTCCACCAGATCTTAATATTTTCTCATGCTCACTTGATCATTCAAAAAAACAACCAACAAGCACCACCCCACATCCTAAAAAATCCCACAGGTCAAACAAAACAAAGAAGAAAAGAAATTACCTAAAAACCAACCTAACCCCCCTTTTTAAACACACACACACACTCACTCACTCACTCCCCAGCTTTTGGAGCACATCTTCACAATTAATGTTTAAATTAAATTCCTATCTCTTTCAATCAAAGACACAAAAAACCCACATGCTGTTTTAATACATGCATATGGGTTACAAACAGGACAATGAAACAGAGTATTTATTTCAAAGGTAATATAAAAGTCATAGCAATGGCCACGGATGACATTAAGGAGATATGCTTCAGTAACTTCCTTATGTTGCTTTTCTTTCTCAAAGCTTTTGTACAAACTTCTCAAATAAGTAGAACTACATTTTGCTAAGAAAGGGTGTAATTAATGTCTTGAGTTGTTCTATACCTCATGTATCAAGATAATGTTCTCTTTAAAATGTTCTTTAGAAAAGTCCCAATAAGAGCATAATCTTACTCTTCTTCAACTTTATTTTAAGTGTACAGACTAAAGAAAAAGTCACAAGAAGTGTCATTATACCTTGAAATTTTAACACTTCCCTAAAACACATGGAAATACAAAGCACATCATACACAGTCATCAGAATCATAATGTGAAGATATGCTTAGAGTAACAATACAGTGAAATGAAGTCACACACAGAACATGTATTTTAAAATCAAGGCCCTGCTTATAAGAGTTCTAGTTTTGGTACCATGTGTGAATTCCATGTAATTTAATAGGGAATTTGCAGAAAACCAGTTGATTCATCTTTCCTCCTGGTTTCCATAAAAGGAAATAAAAAATTCACCCACCTATACGTGTAATCTTGAAAACTGCATCATGAAACCAAAGAACCAAAACTTGGTTCAGTAAAGTCTAATTGTATAGGGCTAACACAAAAATGAATCTGTAATTTTCTGAACTCAACTATGAGGAAAACCTGTTCTAAGTGCTAAAATATGAAGATTAACAATCACATGTATGTAAAGAAAATAACAGGTATGTTAACTTTCCAGATGCATCCATTCAAATAAGTTTTGTAAACATTTACCTGTATCCAAGCGCTTTACAGGGGACTCATCATCAACCTCAGAATCTCCACATGCACTCCTTGATCTTTTCCTTGGGTGCAGAAGTGTCTCCAACCTTGGAAGGACTACAGACAAAAAGGTTTTGGTCCCTAGCTGTGGAGAAGTTGGCTGGGTTTCAGTGTTCTTTGCAGACTTTTGGGGGCTTATACTTTTCGATTTGCAGAAGAGAATGGATGTACGTCTGTTTACATCAGTTGATGACTCAGCTACAGCAGAAACAGTCGACTCATTGAGATTACTGTCAAGTAAGTGTTCTGGAGTGTGTCCATTTATTTCTTTCTGAATGGAAGTGCTATATAATTCATTATCAAATTTTACTCTTTTGTAAAGCTTACTCTGCTCTGGATTGAGTTCTACTGGTTTGAGGGTTGGTGGTTCTGAATTAGTCTCCAAGTTTGAAGGAAGAGGTAATGCATCTGATGGTTCAAGTTTAGGGGGAGATTTATCTCCTGAAAAAATTATAAATAGAGTGTGATTTTTGAAAACTTGTAGTTATAAAGTCTATTATAAAACTCACTATAAATGTGCAGCCCACCAAATAAATTGTTGTCTGGAAACAAAGCATAACATTTTAAAAACAAAACTGGTCTAGCAACAATCTCTCCTAGTTAGTAGTTCCTACTTTTATATTGGGAACGTAACAGGGGTAGAAAAGTAGGTGTTTATAGTTGGTGTTAACAATTTATACCTGGATAAATACTTCTTACTTCTCATGCAGTTGTGTTAGTTTCATTAACTAAAAACTACACAATCTATGTTTTTATTAGAAAGTTGGGGTGGAGGATGAGTATCTGTTAAGTGCAATTATACTGCCATTCAAGTAAAATTATTGATAATTTTATCTATTTCACCTTATCAATATTCACCTTACTTGCCTAAGAGAAATTTTACCACATAAACAGTGAAAAAAAAAAAAGTATTTTTAACCTGATGTAGTACAGTGAGCTAAAATGTGTTGAAAAATCTACTGGAAGGCAAGATTTGTAAAGCTTGCTTTACAGGCATGGTTAGAAGTTTTATCTACCTAAAAGAAAAAGAAATAATGGAGGAGGGGAAAAAAAAAGACCCCCGAAATCTTACAGCTTGATTAGCCACTAGTTGACAAATACACACTTGACAATGCAGATTTGATAGGTGAAATCAGAAAAGCCACCCTCTACTATTTTTTCTCCAGCACTCCCCCCCGTCACCGTTTATTTTAACATGATTGTGTCCCAGTCAGTTCCACTAAATCCGTGCTAGGAGAAGACAATGGAGATATAAGTGTGAGTGAATAAAAGTAATTTCAATTTTTCATCCCAAGTAATGGGAAAGAAAATAAACATTCTACTATTGCAGCATGCCTGAATACAAATAGAATGATGTCCTAACCCATAATTATCAACTCAAAAAGATGTTAAAACCTTTCTAGCTTCCAAAAGAGTCTTTTGAAATATATGAAAGGAAATACTTTAGATTCTAGAGTAATGTATGAGACCAACATACTATTTATGCTATCACATAAAATACTTAATTAATTTTTCTACCACCTGAAAAGTATAAAACCCCCCAGTATTCAAGTCCTCTATTTGCAGGGAATATGTCTATATTGTTTCAGTTTCGGCCCAGCTACGCTTACTTGGAAATCAATGAAGTCTAAGTGCAGGAAAATCTCAGCCCTGTTGTTTAAGGTTTAATCAACAGTAGCATAGCTAATACTAAAAATATGTATTTTTAAAATGCAGCATGACTGTGCTCATGTAATTTGATGGTACACAAGTATTAGAATTGGTAACTAGTATTTCAGGAAGACAGTAGAATAAAATGGACAGTCAGATAAGCACATTTAAAGTAATATAATGGCCAGTCTTCACGAGTGAAGATCCGGGGAAGGTCTTTACACCTTCCAGCCTGCGCATTGGATTTTTTAGGTGAGACACAGTGTGCGCGGAACTGAGCCCACCCTTTAATCCTAAGGTTCATCTGCCGAAGCCAAGCGAGCTTGGACGGTGGCAGCGAGGTCCTTAGGACGTAGGTGGGTTGCCTTTAAGGGCTAACGAGCCCCACCTGCCCGGGAGTGGCCCTGACCGGGAATCGAACCCGGGCCTCGGCGGTGATAGCGCCGCGCCTTTACCACTAGACCACCAGGGGCTCCACATTTAAAGTATCACCAATTAAAAAAGCCTGTAGCTTAGAATGTCCAAGATGACTGTTCTTTGTGAACAAATTCTGATTTTCTTAAAATTAACTAGAAAATATTCACGAAAAGATTTAAGAACATAAAACCACCTGAGAATGCTTCAGCCAATAAAACCTAAATTTCATGTGATTATTCTGGTACCATCATTTTTCACATGATTGGAGACTGAAAACAGAATTGCAAGGGGGTAATTCACAGCGCTTCCAAAGTCAGCTCCTGTACAGATCCTGGGTACACTATTCTTCTGCATTCCTCATCTTTTTTTGGCAATTTGTTTTCTTTACTCCTCTAAGTAACTTCTATGTGAGAACTGAAATTTGAACTAATTCATATTATTCTTCACTAGATCAGAACTATAAAAACAATGCCAATCAACCCTACATCATGCTTTTCATTATGTTTTGTTTAAAAAGCATACTGTAAATACAAGAAAACTGTTACTGTTCACTTTGGACTAATTTTTGGTAAACAGTTGGAGTGAAAGGCTGTGACATAAAAATGTTAAGCTACAAGTAAAACGAGTTAGTGTATTCATTAGCTGCCAAAAGTACATTCCTAAAGAACTGTATTGTACTATCATCACTTGACTAAAAAACCCACAAAATTAAAAAAAAAAGAAGAGAGATCATTAAACATTCTGAGAATACTTAACACCTCAGAACAAGATAATATGCCAATTCACAGAAGCTTTTTCTATCCTTATTCAAATCTCAAGGAAATTATGCTTCAAAAATGTTCTCTTAGCTACACTAAGAATTAAACACTACATTGCTGTTTGAATGGCAGGTAAGGACAGTCATTTTATTGACTTCATCTTCTAAAATTTTTTGATAGCATCAAGTTGCAACAGATACAGACTGTTTTATTTATTACCATACTTCCACTTTCCCTCGAGCTCTTTCCTCCTCCTATTCATTGCACTTATTCAAAATGAAATACATCTCTAACTGTCCTAAAGAAGAAGTTTCATTTTTCAGAGGTGACCATGAAACAAACTCAATAGAACTTTTTTTTTGAGAGACAGATTTTCTTGCATCATTTAAAAATTAACAATAAAGACCTAAGAAATTAATTTTAAAGCCAAAAATGTGAATTATGATATTCAATTGAAATATGAAGTTTCTAGCACATTGCTATCATTGAAATCAATGGCAATCAGCCAAGAGTAGATACAGTTCTGAGACAAATGTTTTGAGGAGGAAGAGAACCAAAAGGGGAAGAGCTGGGTAGATATGACTGACTTGATTCTACAACATGAAGAGTATTAAGTCTTATCAATATTTAGCTTTAGATAAATAAATAAATAAATAAGCCAACCCCAAACCTACCCACCCTCCTCCCCAGTCTGGAGTAGAAAGACAGTACAACAGTTAGAGTTTTCATTACTATTGACCCGGGCTCACATGTTCCCCAATACGTATTTTGACATTCAAGTGTATTTCCAAAAGTACAAAGATATTTTTCTTCAGATATTTCCAATTGTTTTTCGTGTGAGATTGTTTGCACTTTCATTTCTTAACACCTACACTTTTAAAAACCTTGCTGTAGTGAAAAATAACAGAGGGATTTTTTTTAAGAAGATCATTCTTTTCTTATAATATTTGTTGGGATTAAGTGGACATTTGCATATTTTAAATGCATATTTTTAATTTAAAATAAGTATTTTAAATTTAAAATTAATATTCATTTATTAAACTCTTTAATTCACAATATTTAAGCACCTGACTGAAGAGGCTCAGAACAGCACTCATTTAAACCTGGTTTACAATCTTACCTTCTTCTTCTCCGTCTTGTTCTAATGTTGCACTTTCTTCTTCAAAACTTCCAATACCTGATTCTATTTGAGGAGCTTGGTTGTGTTGCTGACTTAATTTGTTGCGAATAACGCTGATTTCTTTCTTTAACAGCTTTGCTCTTTTGCTCCTTGACCCACTGGATTTCATTGCACAGGTCAGATCAAGTTTTTCTAGCAACTCTCTCAGCTGTTCTTCCAAGGACATATGCACTCTGTTTGCAGGATTCAGTAACCTATCCACTGAAGTCAAAACACGCACAATTGCAAATGTATTAGCATTTCCCAGAATATTTCCCAGAGCAATAATACCAACAGGAGAAAAAAAAAGTAAAATTCACATGCCGAAATAAAAAGATATTGTCAAAAAGCTACTTAGATTACAGCCAGAAATGCTGAAATTAATTCCTACTATATATTTACTATTCTTCTTAATCAACATTTTGCTCAAAAAATCTAAGTAACAGAGCAAAGACATAAAGGTCAGAATGAAGACATAATTAATCCTTACACCCTAATAGGCAAGTTCCTTCTTGTAAAAGAGAAGGACAAAATTACAGTTATAAAAGAAATGTGTTAAATATTCTCCTTCACTGCCAAAACCTCAGAAAACTGATGTGTATGTCTAAAGAATAAATTTTAAATCCTACTATTACAAACGTGCTTTGTTTTTTAAATGAGTAGGTTATTTAAGAACGTGCTGAAGTTTATAAGCACTTTCCATGACTTTAAAGCATATACAATCATGTGAAAGAGAGCACTCAGCTTAAAAATCTTTTCCATGTAAGTTGTTAAATTAGGTTCTGACATTGCCAAGATCAGAATCTGGGTAACACTGATTTCTAAGGAGAAATCTAGTAGAGTAGAAACACTAGAATCTTTCAAGAACTACTTTTAATAGGAAAGTAGGGAATCTAGTCAGTAAACAGCAACAAACCTAAATGTGTATGGAATGTACATGCCATATGTAATGAAAAAAATGCAACTTTTAAAAATAATCAGTAAACATCTTACCATCTTCCCAAGAGAAAGGCTGGGGTGTCTCAAGTTTAGGTCGTTCAGGTAAGTGCATTCCAGTTTCATTATTGTAACCAATTCCTTCAGCATCTCGCCTAGCTTGCCTGAGAACTACACCTCCTTGATCTCTTAACCGCACCGCAGCTCTATAAAATATTGTGTCTTTTGCATTGTATTTCATACAGTTATCTATGATAAGATTGAAGTCTTCTTCAAACTCACTGAGGTTTTTATAGCCTTGAGCATCTAACCGTTTTCGCATAGTAGAGAAATCCATAGGATGTTTAATATGATCCAAATAGTCCGGAACCTTTGAACAAATATTTAAAACACAAATGGGTAAAATTGTCTTATTGCAGCCAAAGTAATATTAGTTAAGTGATACACATTCTAAACATATTTTGCAATACTTCAATGTAAAAAATTCAAAATATTTAGAATTGCACATTGTGATATTGCAAATATTTGCATCCCAACAGATGTTTACATACTACAAGATCCTGCACCTTGGGTAACAAGTTTGACCTTTACTAAGAGATGCTGAAACTGTATGTTTTTAGAATTCTGTGGTTTTATGTACCTCTTCTCCCAGGCAACTAGTGACAGGCCAAGGGCAAATGGCCTCTGGTTGTACCAGGGGCAGTTCAGGATATCAGGAAAAATTTCTTCACTGAAAGGGTAGTTAAGCATTGGAACAGGCTCCCCAGGGAAGTGGTAGAGTCACCGTCCCTGGAAGTGTTCAAAACAAGTGGATGAGGCACTTTGCAATATGGTTTAGTGGGCATGATGGTATTAGGTCAAAGGTTGGACTCGATCTTGGAGGTCTTTTCCAATCTTAATGAGTCTATGATTCTCTGTATAATAAACAGATGTCTACAGAGTATCTACACACACATTCATTTAATTTATATAGACATGTCTACATGTTTTGTACACACATCTACATGTTGTATATGTACATATTCACATACTCTGTCTAGTTTCACCTGCAAATAGGAACATAGTATCAACATTTCAGTTTTTGATACCCTTAATTTGCTTCATCAAAATCATCTTATTGCAAAATATCAACATGTACACATCGTTCCATAAAAGTATTTTCCAGATATTATTTTGGTATATAAACAATAAAAGATTTTCATAGCTGTAAAGCATAACTCATAATTTAAATTATCAGAATAAAGATTAAAAGATAATACTGCTTCCAACCCTGTATGCAATGACTTGTTTCTGGCACTTAAGTGCCACCAACCCATATGTAAACATCAGGAAACACAGCTGCAAACACACCTCTTTAAGGTTCACCGGCTGAGCAAATATACGAGCAGTATCCTTTTCCTGCAGCTGATCCAGAACTGATCGCAGAAGTACAGTGAATGGAGTAAGCCTAAGTTCCATAGCAACCTGCTCAATCTTGACCTAAAGAAGTAACAATTATCCAATTGAGCATTTTTCATTAACATACTGTATTAAAGTTGTTTTGCAACAACCGTATAATACTTTAGATATGAAATAAAATATAAATTTAAGTAAATGAGTTCAATATTACTTTCAGTATCATCAGTTGGCATTTGTCTGACATTTGATTTTTTTCCTTATAAAATCATCAGCTGAAAACCTCTCATTCCTTCAGCTTCCCAGAACTCAAGTATGTATTTTATGTATAAGAATTTTGTTCCACTTTTAAATGTATCTCTTTTCCTTGAAAAGATGTTACATAAGAATAGCTTCACAATTTACCAACAATGTGAAAAATAGTAAAAATTTAAAGGTAATATGTTTATAATTAAATTTTAGTTGTACTCCTATGTTCAAAGTTTAAGTAAAGAATCTGATGAGTCCAGAGGAGGGCCACAGATAAGATCAGAGGACTGGAGCTCTGCTCTGAAAAAAGGCTAAAAGAAGTGGGATTGTTCAGCCTGAAGAAGGCTCTGGGGAGACCTCACTGCAGCCAAGGGGGTTCATAAGATGGGGACAAACTGATTGGTAGGGCCTGTAGTGACAGGACAAGGGGTAACAATTTTAAACTAAAAGAGGGCAGATTCAGACTAAATGTAAAGAGTAATTTTATTTTTTTTTTTTACAATGAGGGTGAACCACTGGAACAGGTGAGCCAGAGAGGTGGTAGATGCCTTATCCCTGTGAAAATTAAAGGTTAGGTTGGATGAGGCTTTCAGCAACCTGATCTAATTGAAGATGTCCCTGTTCAATAAAGAGGGGTTGGACTAGATGATCTTTAAGGTCCTTTCCAACCCAAGCCATTCTATGACTCTACAAAAATTTTATATATTTTAAACAGTTTGACTGCATGTAGGCACATACGTTACTTGACCCTACATCAGGACTAAAAGACAGCAGTTCTTCTACTGAAAACCATGTGTGAAAACATTTAAATTATTTCCTTCAGAAAAGTCTCACCAAATTAAAAGGTGCTCCATTTACCTGTTCTCTTTTTAATTTTTCACGCTTACGTATAAGTTCTATCAACAAACGTGCTCTTTCAAGATCGTGGCGCAGCCTCTGCCAGTACTTCAATTTTTCTTTTAAGGCCTGCATTTCTTCATCATCTTCTCTCTAAGAAAGGAATCAAAAAAGTTTTCATTAAATGAAAAATGTGTACCTCTTTTTATAAGATAGTTTTATATAATTACAGAATGTAGGCACATGAAGAGAGAAACTACTGTCTTATAACTATGGCACTTGGTCATAAGCTTCACACTGAACCAAAAGAAAAACCTCTGGTGAGGGTATCTTCCGAAGTTTCTCAGGGGTCTATCTGAAACCAAAACCTATAAACTGGAGAGCATTCCTATGGTGACAGCTGTTTATATGAGAAGGAGCAATACAGCAAACAGCAACTCATAAAGATAACAAGCTGCAAAATACAATATGGCATTTTCGCATCAAAATCAAAAAACCAGGAAAACAACATCAGTTTCTTCAGAAACTCCAGCCTGGTAGAAACAAATTATTCTTGCGGTCAACACAGTCCACCTCCCCCACACCCAGCAGAATTAGGACACACTTGTAACAGAACAAAATCATTATGGCTTCTGAACAGAGGAGATGAAAAGCTGTTTATTAGATAATACAGTAACTTCAAATAGTACTGCAGATTAGTAACGCAGTAATAGAACCTTTCAGAGAATGGATGACAATGCAATTTACACATTTTTAAGAGTAAGTAATGTTTAAACACTTGCAGTATTTAGTTTGATTTGTACATACAAAACCCAGAGCATTTCTTGTTACTATTTTTTATAGGGAAAAGGGAAAATACTGGAAAACTGCACATAGAATTCAAATGGTATTGAAAATTCACCAGATATGAGGACAAAAGTAAACAGAAGTCCTGATATCAGTACCAAGTACACAAAAGAAACATCTGTGTTGGAATATTATCATTATTACATTTAAAAAATTAGTATTTCATAAAAGAGTCTCTGAAAGACATCCAAAACATTGTATGCCTATTGGTAACTTGCATAATGCAACACACTTGGTAAGTAATCTTTGTGGGGGGGATTTAAAAGCTAAAATGAAACCAATAAATTCCAAAAAAAACAGAAGACAGAGGAATAAAGAAAAGTGACTAAGCAGATGAACAATAAACAACATTACAAATTATTACAGTGATAGCAATAACTTTCTTAAGAGAAAGACAATTTAGAAGTACCAGAGGTTCTCTAAAGGAACCTTGTACAATTTTTCAGACAAAAGGTTTAAAAAATAGAATTGTAAAAAATGGTAGCTTAAAAACTTTACCTAATATATTTACCAGTGCTATGATTCTATCATGTGCATCATATTTCATTGCTTTATATACTTTGTAAAAGTAAAGACAAGTACACATAAAAGCTACAAAATTAGTTTTATTCAAATCTCTGACTTAACTGAAGTTGAAAATCCTTAACTACCAATTATTAGAATACAGCAATCTAAAACCAAGTTTGTTCCTCTTTTCAGTAAGAGAAAAACCCTAAACCCAAAAATCAACAACAAAAAAACCCAAAACACACCAAAAAATCCCAATCTAAAAATATTAGAAACTTCTAGTTCCCTTTCCTCATGACTACTACAACTGAAAGTTATAATTCTTTTAAAGAGTTAAATCTTGATGTAGACATAATAATTTAACTGTCTAGGGTCAGAATAGTTCAAAGTAAACTCTGACAGAAAATTAATATGCACATTTCCAATTCCTTAAAATTCTCAGAGACTCACTGAAAAAGCAAGTCTACGCTGCCACTAAGTGCTGTTCTCCTACACCCCTTCATCTCTGAGCACAGATCCCACGTGTGCAAAAGCAAACGAACTCTTAACTGACATAGCTATACTGGTTTTTTTCAGTTCTACTGTTTTTCAGGGCCAAAATTAACTTGTGGTGATTGCCAGAAGTGGAAGGTTTGTCTTCCCTTTGCTTGCAAATGTTCAGAGTCGTTCTTTTTCCCTGTATAACTGCACAATTTATGGAATGCAATTTTGGAACTGGGGAACTGAGCCTGCTTTTTAAAAGTTCAGTCAACAAAACCATACTAGCTTTAGGGTGGGTCAGGAAATTTAAATACAGAAAGAAAAAAATGTTACAGCAGGTCTTTCATTCCACAAAATAGGTACAACCACCTAAATCTGCATATGTGACACAAAGTATCAAGAGCACCCCGTTTGCCTTTTTTTAGTGCACACTTTTCACTCCTCTCCTGAATGTCATTCTGGCTTGGGGGTTAATAGCAAGCCTCCAATTTTTTGACACTTCTATGCAAAGTTATGTTGGCAGACTGTAGCTAAGATAACCCTCCTTTGCTCTAACCTATTTATTATCTGACATACAACATATACCTTAATTAAATTAAAAGACAGAGGCAAGCTGAAAAGCACTGGTTTCCAACACTCAACCAGTAAAAACTTAAGATACAAAGAGTTCCTCTCAAAAAATTTAGCTTTCTGAAAGAGAAACTTTCTGGTAAAGAGTTCATCTTATTCCAAGTCTTTCTTCCCATAACTGTTCCGAAAGCCAGGAAGTTTCATCTGGCTAATGACACAAGAAAAATTTATAAAGAAATTCTTGTTCAGAGAGGGACTCTTAATCAGGAACTGTACTGATAGGACAAGGAATATTGAGTTCAAACTGAAAGAAGGGAAATTTAAGTTAGATATTAAGGAAAAATTCTTTACAGTGGGGGTAGTGAGGCACTGGAACAGGCTGCCCAGAGGATCTGTGGATACCCCACCCCAGCAGTGTTCAAGGCCAGGCTGGATGGGGCATTGAGCAACCTGGTCTAGGGAAAGGCTTCCTTGCCTATGGCAGGGAGTTAGAGGATCTTTCAGGTCCCTTCCAACCCATTCTTTGATTCTAGGATTTTTTGATGAACTTAGTTCTTGTTGAACATAGTATTATCTAGCAAAGCTAAAACTTACACATTTATTAATACTGAGAGAAAAACTTCTAAGTCTACACACAGAACATGCAGAAGAACAAGTGAGAAATGGTCTCACCAGGAATATGCTACCAGTCTCTGCATACTATCAGCAATACTGTAGCAGCACATCCCTCCTTATGCTGGATGTCAATACATGAGAACAGCCTCACTCCTTACGGAGACTGTAACTTAATATAAACCAAACAAAAATAGAATTACAGTGATGAAACTGGACCTTGAGCAATACAATTAGTTTTATCAAGACTCTCTGCTGGCACTTGTATGCCAATCAGTCAAAAAAATTTAGTTGGTTGCAACCTGCGTTCTTACTGAAATCTTCAGTGCAGGTATGACCTTAACTCACCAGCACCTTCTGCTTTATTTCTCCTAATTCTGCCTTTCAAACCAACCTCACTACAGCAGCAACAGGCTTCTACACTTAAATTTCATGCCTTATTTTTATTCAAGCATTTTTTAAGTACAGAAAAAAAGCTAAAACAAATGGGGACATAAATTTATTAGGAATATTCCAATACCTTTCCTGAATTTCTAGGTGGAGAGAGAAGTGACAGTATAAAACATTCTCTCAGAGAACGTGCAGTTCCTGCACATGGTGAGGCAGTGTATATACACCAAGACCTTCTCTCCTGGTTGAGAATTCTTACTTGATATAAACATCACCTTCAAAAGCATATCAGAGCATTGAGCTCCGGAACACATTTATTTGAAAGTAAATATAAATCATGAAAGTCTCTCCTTTTGTCAAATTAGCCAACAAAGAGAAAGAATCAAACTCACATTCCGCCAGGCATCTTGAAACTATTTTCAGGGTTTTGGTTCCTCATAACATGTCTTTTCAGTTCAAATAACAATTTAAAAAAAAAAAAAATCTCTTCTGTATCTATATTACATCAGTATTTATATTTCTTTAACTGACTGAAAACCTACTTAGGTTTCTTGATATTCTGACCTCTCAAATAAAATAAAAAGAATTTTCCCATCTGGATTGAAATAAACAAACCAATCATCTCTACTTCAAAAACTCTGAGGCGTTTTCACAACGGCTATGCCACAGCTGTTTATTAAGGTCTTGATTATAATTTGGTTTATACTTAGGAGTAACAAAGATGACTAATGCATTAAATGCTTCACAGTTATGACTGCTTTAATAAATACAAACAGAAGGTGCTACGGAGAAGACTCAATATCATACACAGGACACGTGCTACTCACTGAAAAGCACTCCCTACACATTTTTCATCAACAGAATCATTTAACATTAGCTCACCACGAAACTTGCTTTTTTCTTTTCAAAAGAATAGTCTCAGAAGTGCCCCAGTTTTTAACAGACCAATATAAATAGCTTCCAATTGATTTGGAAAATATTTTCATTATTTCCTTACTTATAAATCATTCTAAATTTAGAAAAAAAAATAAAGAAATAGTCTTTGTACTAAAGTGTAAACAGGCAATGGAATTTTAAAAAGGTCCTATCTAAGGCCCATTTTGTTTTAACTGAACATGAATTTTAATAATTGTTTTATTGTGATAGTGACTATTTAAATATTTAGAGCTGTTGCAGCCAGTTGCATGCCATCTCACTATAAAAATACTTCCTAAAGCGCAACTAGCATGTATAATTTTTTCAGACAATAACAACGGTCTAGTTCTATACTGCCACAACAGCCCTACATTTCTGTGCTGGACTTTACTATTTTTAAGGACTCGAGCTCTTTTAAAAAAAAGTTTATTATCCGAATAAATGAATTTCAACTATTATTAGGTAACTGCAAGGTTACACTCTTCAGAACAGAAATTTCTCACGGAGAAGTAGAATATAAAATTATTTTACAGAAATTACAACCCAAAAAATAGTATCAAAATGGAGCAACACAGAAGCAATGAAAATAGATAAATAAGTGGTCAATTTATATTCAAAGTTAATGCCACCTAAAAGGAATCCACCTAAATGGAATTTAAGAATCCCAGCTATGAGGAAAGGCTGAGAGAGCTCGGACTGTTTAGCCTAGAGGAGAAAAGGCGGGGGGGTGAGGGGTGGGGGTTTAGAAATCTCACCAATGCACAAAAATACCTGAAGGGAAGATGCAAAGAAGACAGAGCCACACTCCTTTCAGTGATGCCCAGTGACAGCACAAGAGGCAATGGGCACAAAGTGAGAATGGACATCAGAAACACTTATATTGTTTAATTTTTATTTTTAAACTGTGAAGGTGACCAAGCACAAGCTATCCAGGGAGATCGTGGTGTTTCCACCCTTAGAGATATGCAAAAGCCAGCAGCACGTGGTGCTTGGCAACCTGTTCTAAGTGGTCCTGCTTAGTGGTCCTGGAGGTTGTACCAGATGACTTCCAGAGGTTCTTTTCAACCTCATTTGTTCTAGGAATTACTAATTAGTTTTTCACATGAAAAGCTAAAAAAATACACATACAAACGTGACTGATCAAATAATTAGGAAGCAGTGTTGACAATGATATTTTTATAACATCAATAATGACTTAATCAGTAAACAGAAGTACAATTCTAACAAAAATCACGGTTCAGCTTTGAAGGGGGAGGGGAATCTCAATTTAATACAAGCAAATTATTATAAAATTAATTCCTAATTTTTAGAGGCTATTTTACAAGAACAATTCCACTGAAAGTCAAACACACAGAGAATGGAAAGAACACTACATATTCAAAGCCAACTACATATTCCATTCAGTTATAAAAAGGTAACTGGGATGCTCTATAACATGATGCATTAGCATTTCAAAGTCTACACACACAGATTCATATATACAACTCAGGAGTTTTAATTATTTTTTTAAGCTACCCAGAGACTTGAAATCAAAAGAGCAGTATATCGGTAGCCACTGTTTTGATGTTTTTCAGCACTTGACTGGTAAGTGTGTACAACTTTATAACCAATCCAGACAACCTGTAGCTAGGATGGGTCTTACTGGAAAAATGTATCAGCATAAATTTATGCTTGTCTACAATCCCACAATTGTGTCAAAGTGAAACTAAAAGTTGAAATATGTCTTTGAACTTCATCAACAACTTGCCTCTTTTTCTGTTATTACTGAATCTGGTGGGCAATAAGGATCTAAATTTGAAAACTGTAAATTAGCTGTCTAACCCTTTACCTGTTTTTTTCAAGTGTCAAATATGGTATTTGCATTGCACCTTTTGAATAATTTAAAATAACTTTTTTTTATCTAACTCACAGCATATTGAGTAATGAGTTCCAGAAAACCATAATGCTAGTCAAAAAATAATGATATTATGACAGTTTTGATGACAGTATTTTTCTGAAACATTTAAGTAAAACAAAGGAAAAAATCCATACAATTTTTTTTAATAGCTCAAAAATTAAAAAGTATTAGATAATTCCCAATCACCAATACAGGTAATAACACTTCACAATAAGGTAAATAATTTACTCAGTCCTGAATAAGAGAAAGTTTTTACTTTCTAGTTAATTTTTTACTCATAAGTAAAAAGTATGTCACGTACCTGTTGTGTGTTTCTTTGTGACTGTAAACTGGACTGCAGCCTTCTCAACAGTGGAACACCATTCCTAGACAGTCTTTTAAGCAACCAGTAACTGTGTGCTCGTTCAACAAAATGCTTCTTTCGCTGAATGGCCACCTGATTCATAATCTTATTTAATCTAAAACATGGAAAAACGGACATTGTATTTTTCCCAGCAAAGCATAAAATGTATTTGTCTATACAAGCATAGAAGTTAAACATCGAATATATAAAAACTGTAAAACCAGAAGTAACCACAATGTTACAAATTTCTTTCAACAACATCCCTCCTAGTACAATTATTTCTGAACAGTAAACTACAATCAAACACATCTGCTTGACACTGGAGTTTCTACTAAATACATTAAGGTACTTTATGAAGCTAATGGGAATCAATTTTTTCATTATCATTATTTGAAAATCAATCCCAGATTAGCACTGAGATTAAAATTTTATATACATTTCAGAATAATTTTCCTATTGAAAATAAAATCAGAAATAAAGCTCTAAATCACTGTGAAAGTCTTCAGATCATTTGTTGCCAACTACAAACAGAATTAGTAGTTTATTTTAAAGACAATGTCTTCAAACTGTTTACATAAAAACATGTAGCAAAAGGCTTGTCTTAGTTATCTATTATTATCAATTTTTTGACAAATAAACAGAACAGAAAATGTAAACTACAAGAATAGTTATTATTTTACCCCACACATACAATGAAAACAGCACACAGAAAAGATACAAGTGAGGATGATAGTTAAGCAAAGTACCCAGATCAATCAATATTTGCTCCAAGTTTCTTTTTAACAAATGCATATACTTTTGCATATACTCATTTCCAAATACTCTAGGAGAGTGCTATATGAACATCACACACAACAATATTGACTATTATTTTCCAAATGATGACGTTAGAATGTCCAAGTCTCACACATGACACTGGCCTCTCAAAATTTACATTCAAAAAAAAAGTTTATCTGAAACAGATCTTCAGCTCTCTGTGCCTACAGTATCTTAAAATCACAGCCTAAAGAAAGTTTAAAAAAGTTAGTGGTTATGTATGATAATGCAGGTATTTGCTACCAGTGGCAGCCCATGCAAAATTAACACGGGATGCCCCAAGGCACCAACCACCTTTATTGTTACAGAGATTGTTCAGTTATCTGGGGGCAGGGGTGAGTTGGAGAGAGAGATGGATGTAAAACAGTTACACAAAAGATAATAACAATAAAATCTGTTAATTCTTCATTCAGTATATTACTACCCATAACAAAACTCTACAATCAGTAGTAGAGGGTTTATCAGATATTCTCCAATAAAATTTAATACTAAGCTAGGCAAATACTAATTCAGTAAGTGTCTGATTTGTAGAGCAGTAACATGAGACATTTAAGTAAAAATCACAAATGTATACACATACTAGTATTTTGCTGCTTTTTTCCTTTTAATATTAGGAATAAAACAGTTTTGCAGGTAAGGATGAAAGTAAAGTAGTCAAATACCTAAATAAAATGTCAAGTTGTAAGTAAACCTTGGGTAAAACGATTTTTAAGAATGTCTGGAAACATTTTTTAGACAAACATACAAGTGAATTTACCCTGAGTTCACGAAAAGTCATCCATCCCTGGTGGGGTTTTTGGGCTGTGTAGAAGATAAGGTGCAATAGGTCTACTCAGTGCCACACTAACTGTGGCTATAGAGATTTCAGTTACCACTGGGTAAAAGCAGAGTGAAGGTTTTCCTCAAAATACAATGCCATTGTATCTTTCGGTTCCTCAATGACATGGTTTTTTCAATTAATAACTAAGCCAGTTAGGCATTCTTAAAAATTTTAGCTTAACTAAAAGCTTAGAAAGCCTGCAGATGGACTTCAGACTGCCTTATAAGTCTTTCACTGGAGGGCAGATGCAGGCTCCAAAAATATTTACTCAACGCAGAACAGATGTGACCATGTTAAACTTCAAACAACATAATTACAATTAATTATGGAATGCAATCAAAATCAAGTAATTACTTTCACATCTCTTGGAACCAGTAAAACCTACTGAACCAAGTCGAAAAAAGCACAGCCAAATACAAACCTATTTGGAAAGATCAGAGAATCATAACATGAAGAAAAGTGTCTTGGCTTCATGCCCATCAGATGTGGCAAGACTAAGCAAACATCTTTAACTACAGCTTTAAGTACATTTGCCCATTCACATAATGAACTGATCTATTCATAGATAATTATAACAGTAAAGTGCTAAAATAAGCATAAGAAAGATGTTCACAGCAGATACTCTCCAACTTGAAAAATATAAATAAACAGAAGGTAATTTGGAGTGCAGAAACTACTTAACAAGGTGTTGGAAATTACTCCTCTCTGCCTTCCCTCCAAATAAAACCAAATACTGGCTCTTCTTATTCCATTTAGACACCACACACAGAGTGGCAACATACTTCTCAAAATACAGAGGTCTGAGACACTTCACATGGCAAGTATCTACAGAGCCTCTACACTATGAACTTACTGATGTAATGAGGACGTTACATCTGCTGTTAGACCCTAACAACCACTGACTGTATCACAGTTTTTTAAACATCTTTTTGCTTAATTTGATACTTCCAAGTAGACTTTTACTGTCCCAAAGGCTTTAAATTTTGACACACAATACAGCTGTTTAAGGGAAATGAAACACTGCTGCTGTAGAACCCTAGAAGTAGCACACCCTGGGTATTGATTTTGAAGCTCCCACCCTTAATAGAGTTTGCTGTACATTTCAGTTCCTTCCCCCTCCCCCAATACATTCCTTAAGAGCAGGGGAAAAAAAAAAAAAGTATATCTTTGAGGCAGGTAAGGGAGAGCTGTTTGAAGACTTTATCGTTTTTGCAATCCAGGGTCTGACTTGCACAAGACAGGATTAATTGCTACACTATGTTGACAAATCCCCCATGCAGAGGCAAGGCTTATAGAACTTAAGGAACCTCCCAAAAACTACAAAACACCTCAGCAAATTAATTTTTTTTCTAAGGTATCCATCCACCCTAGAACCTTTTCCCAGTATAAGCACATCAGCAAAAAACAGCTTTCTGTATTGTTTTAATTTCTAATGGCAAGTCAAGTATACCAAAAGTATTGGGAGAAAAACTCCGTAATTTTCCCTCAACTCACCAGTTACATAAAATAAAGAGGAATTTTAAAATTCTTAAAAAGGTGCCTGTGTTCCCATGAAATTCAGTAACTGCTGCTATATAACTGGTCTCATAAAAGAGCATTAGGCTTCAAGCTGATGACCACTGCAGCCTTTTAATGTTTTGGCAGTAGCAGTCATACTCACTCGTTTTCCTTTTTTTTTAGAGCTACATACCAAAACTACACAGATGTCAACACATTTTTCAGAACGGTTTTATTCATGCCACAGCCAACTGAGAAAGCCAGTATTACTTCCCTTCCCCAGCCCTGCCTGTATCTGACTGTAAAACACTGGTGTGCACTACAAACACGATCTGGGGATAGTGTACAATTCCCTGCTTGTCTTTAAACAGGGAAAGGTCTTTTTTCAACTGGACCTTTCAAATAGTGCCTACAGTCTCCTGCTCACACAGAGACATTTGATGGATAATCTACCCTGTAAAGGGGTGATACACTTAATGCACTGGTCAATGCAATCAGATGAGCTGAATCTGTTACTCAGTCCTTGTTTCCTCACCTTTTATGTAAATGCATAAAATCATTTTTGTCACTGTTAAGAGATGTGCTTCTCACATCAGCAATCTCACAGCTTCATTCTTCAACCCATGACTACCTTCCCCTCACAATTTCAGTTAGATGTCCCTGTGGCAACTACGGCAACTGGTTACAGGCAAAAGTGAAACCAGTATTTTTAGTAACTAACAATGTAGCAGTTTAACTTAAGAAAGCCAATGAAAGATAAACAGTCCTTTATCTATTAATCATCCCTAACCACTCCACAGACCATACATGCTTTTTAACCCCAAATACTGTTTCAGTATTACTGAATATATGAAGATTTCTATAACATCTCTCCATACTTAAGTTTTTGAAATGTAAACTGGAGGGAACATTTCCTTGAGCAAGCATGTGATTTTTGACAGCATTGCCATAGTAACTCAAGCACAAGGAACTTAATAGGAAAAGCTGTTATAATCAGATACCCACACTAAGATCAAATACCCATTAAAACCAATTTTTAAACATGAACTAAATCTTGTATTGTAATTCCAGTACTTGTCCTGAGCCTCCAGTTCCATCAGTTTGGTAATTTTCATCTTGCTTTATCCAGCACAGTAGTATTAAAAGTACATGCAAGACACCAAAACTGTATTATACTTTTACATTTCATTCAGTATCATTAAAATACCAGTTTCTCTTGACCTATGGTAATACCCATAAACAATCAAATTATGTTCTACTTTACTGAGCAAATAAAATACCCCTATTTTACCAAAGATTGCAGATACATTCCTAAAACCTGTCAGAACAAAACCTAAAGCCCCCCCCCCAAATTGAACAAATTGCAACAAAGTAAACTAAGTTTCCAGAATACTTGAATTTTCAAGCCTTGCTCAGCAAAGTTCCACAAATACCAAGACTCAGATGAAGCAGGAAAGACACAAAAACTGCCTATAAACAATTATAGTAATTCCAATGGCATGTAGCAGAAAAACAGAATAACAAGCTATGGAAGCATTTATTTGTGGAATTGGAATTAATTCTGGAGCTTTACCAACTATTCCTCCAAGCTCCAGCTTCTGAAGATCAGAAAGCCTGCTTGGACAGATGAAACTCTCCCTACTCTTCCCATGCAAAACCTTTGGCAGCAGTGCCAAACTCACCTTTCAATACACTTTTTTTTTTTTCTTTTAAACAGTGAAGAGATACAGTTTTGTTATCCCATCCCTCGATAAAAAATAAAACTATATCATCTCAACTTAAAAATAAAAAGAACCCAAACAAATGGTTCTGATCAACTTTAAAGAGAACACGTATAAATTAATAACTATGTAAAAATCAGAATCCATTTGTGTCTTTATTTCCTTTTGAAAAAGGATAACACTGCTTTTGTACCAAACAGAAGTCAGCTACGTACCCAACATGGTACATATCAACTCCTGGAAAGACTGAAAACAATTTCA